GAGGGGGAATCGATGTGTGGGTGAGACACTGGTGGGGGCACTGGGCACCAATCAATAGACGCGCGGCGGCGCCCCACCTGTCAACGCGCGCGGAGATAAACACAGGTACCTGGACCGGTGTTTAACGGCACTGACGTATCAGGTGCACGACGATACGTCACACACAGTGCATCTGCCTACGCACGGAGGACGCGTGACGCGGTAAAGAGAAGGTCACCGCCGAGGGAGAAGCCACGAAACTTCCGTCTTTTATTATCCCGTCCCGTGCGCGACTCGCCGACGGAGATAAACGGGTGGTATCTGTCCGGGGTATTATGTGCACCGACAAGTATCGTCCGTATCGTCGCGGACAGAGAGATGACTTTGCCGCGTGCGAGAGCTCCTGGGATTATATTTGAACAGAGGCTCCTTCGGCTGCGTTAACTCCGTGCGCGCGTCCACAAAAGGGAGAGCTAATAGCGTCCATATTTCGCGCGCACGAAACGATCCGCGATTCGAGGAAATCGAGTCCGACGGTCGGTGTTCCGGTTTCGCCTCGCGCACGGCAATATTCATCGTTTAATTATACGGTTGCGATCTAAATTAATCCGCCGGCTTTCTCCCTCTCTCTCTCCCTCTCTCTCTCTCTCTTTCTCTCGTCGGCCGGTAATAAGAATACGCCTTGCTGTAATAAGCGCGCTCTCTAAGCGGTGATTTACCGCTCAAGTTTTGTACGACGTCGTATTTAAGGGAGAGCCAATATATTCGCGCGAGTTTCCTAGGATGCATCATAAATACCTATATCGCGGAGTGATATAGGTTTATCGCTGAAACTCGTCAAACTTCCGCGTTCGTTCACCGAGCGGGCAACAACGCGCCGTGCATATTTAATCCGCTGGCTTAGCCCGCGCCCGGCAACGTTATTCTTTTTTAATTCACCAGCGGCGTCTTATATATTTCAGTTGCACTGTCCGGCATATGGTCGCCGAATTCAAGCGTGCGCCGGCGTTTACGCGGTGGTCGGCGAAATTTTTGCACCGCGCGAATATCCACCGCTTCTGACATGGTAAATGAAGAGCGGGTTAATTAATATTAGCTTAATGCAACGGAGCGCATGCGGCAATGCGGCGTTGCGGATTTTATTGTAATTACAATCCAGTTACACGGTTGTATTTTCGCTGACGCCGATTTTCGTCCCGCCCGGGAGTTGCGCGCGAAACGGCCCGCTCGTGGAACAATTTTAATATCGACCAAGATATTCAGCAAATATTGGCGCGGCCGGCGAGAACGTGTTTGCGGAGAGCGAGCGAGACCAAGCGGACAGAGAGAGAGAGAGAGAGAGAGAGAGGGTGAGAAGGAGGGAGAGGGAGGGAGAGGAAATGAGCGAAAGACCATATCAAGCGCACAGCGCGGACTGAGCACATCAGGAGTCGTCCTTTTCATGTATTTTAATCGAATGTTATTAGCGCGACGTCGACGTCGCGCGGTACCGTATCGCGATGAGCGCCTTTCGATTTAATTTCCCGTCACGTCTGTGAAACCGTTTCAAAGACATTAATCGTTCATGTAATAGTAATTATCGAGGACGCGCGCGCGCTGATAACAATTCTCGTAATGGTAATCCGCTTGTAACATCGTCCCGATAATTTCGCGTCGCGTAATACACGCGTGTCTCCGTCGAGTTTTCAAAGCTGTGCAAGAATTCCGCCTGAGCGGGGTCGCGAATTAAGTCTACAGGCGGATTATAACTGGGGTAACGTTTTCCGGGGTATCAATTACGAGAAATTAGCGACTCTATTGTGCCGTGTAATCGCACTGTGTACGAATTACAATGGAGCTCTTTCCGCCCCGTGTGTGTTGCGAGCATAATGACCGAGATTGCCTCGCTTTCTTTCTCTCTCTTTCCCTTCTTTCTCTCTCTCCCTCTCTCTCTCTCTCTCTCTCGCTCTCGTCAGTCTCGGTACGCTCGGCGGGATAATAAAATCATGCGCCTCGTAAAACGTCTTGACAGACGCGCGATCGTTTAAAACGCTGCCGACAGGATTATCCGACGAAACGTATGAAGCCGTCAGACGCGAGCGGATCCTTCGCGAGATCAATATCCAATATTTAATAGCAACAATTTTAATTGGAACACTACTGCACCGTAAATCCAATTAATACTGGATCGAAAGTACGATTAAATAAAAGGTACGCGGTAATATCGTAAAATCGCCGAGACACAATCGCTTTGACGAATAATGTTCGCTTCTCTCTCTCTCTCTCTCTCTCTCATGGATGTTTCTTCTTTCATCGCACCATCGCTTTCGTGAAACGTTCTTTCAAACGTAGCGCATAAGGAATAAACAAACAGGATAAGCCGATGGCTTCCTTTGAATTATATAATGTTAATATCGCGCACCTATATCGAATCTCTCTACGGAGCACTTCTGTGATTGTGTGTAAACGGGCCGAAGAATGGAAATGTGTTCATCGTCCGCGCGGACGACAACGGCGCAACAACAGCGTAATTTTCACGAGGAGAATAATTCTTTGTGCGGCGCATTGTGCCGTCGCGTACAATGCCGATGAGTTAATAACTGTATGGATTACGCGCGATGCAATATCTCCGTGTACCTCCGCTAAAGTATGAAATCACGTCGTGCGGCGGCGTTGCGGCACGATATCCTGTCCACTTCCAGTTTACTGTCGGCCGGGATTCCGGGCGGATCGTAATACTACTTTGTTTCAAACTTCCCACCGATATTTCACGAGGCGCCGCGCGAAACTACGAAATTAGATGCTCTCATGAAAGCAAAGAAAAATTCACATGTGACGTGCGAGCAGGCAGGCAGGCAAAGCAGGTGGGTAGGTGGACGAAGGAGAGAGAGAGAGAGGGGGAAGAAATGAAACGAGAAAAGGGGCGCTATAATATCGTGTAACACTTCGGAGCGTATCTTATTCGCCGCGTGAAAAGTTCTCTCATTGCACAGGCGGGGAAAAACAGCTCCCGGGCATGGGCGACGGTTCGGGCGTTACAACTTGGAAAGTCGTAACGAAAATTATTTCGATACAAGTTTGTCAATTCGCACGATTGCCCGTTCTTCGCCGTCCCCTCCGGCCGCGCTGCATTCGCGACTAACTCCGTGCACGAGTATACATTTTATAACGAAAATCTCGGTGCGCGCGCGAGGAGAGCGGCACGGCCGACGCGGCTGGCTTACCAGCCAGATATTAATGGTAACGCCGGATGCTGGGAATAACGAAGACACAAAGTGCAGTATTCAGCGCTGACAGTTACTCGATTATACGACGCGCGGCCGCGCGCCGCGCGAGACCGAGCGCTCGCGCGGCGCGCGTTAGCGCATCATCGATCACTTCATCGACAGCAACATCTGGAATATGCAATACATTTGACGTGAAATAAATAGCTTGATAAATGCGCGTTGCCGTATTATTTCTACAGCGGTGACGTCGATGTTTTCACAGCGTGAGATCGCGAGGAGCGATCTCTCTCTCTCTCTCTCTCTCAGAGAAAGACTCCGACTTCACGTCCGCGTTGCGTAACAAACGCCGTCGTTGTCGTCGACTTTCATCGAATGGATTCGCCCGGTAATCGGATATGTATCGCGTTAGGTAGGTTTACGGTGAATTACATGAGGAGCGATAGCATTAATATCGGTACGTATTACCGACTATTAACGCCGCACGGATCGGTGTAATTACGCGGTCCTCGTGTGCAGACGCTGCCTGAGCAGACGCCGACTCGTACCACTGCGCCGTGTGTGAGCCGGTAGTAAACGGAGCGCCGCACATCAGACATCCGATACAGGATGTCGCGTCGAATTATCACATCCGATTTCACGACAGGCGAGAGATAATCGCGTTTTCCACCGCGACATTTAGCGAGCTCCCGGATATACGTGTATACATTTACATCGGTTCCTCAAATTTCTCTACAGTTAACAAGAAGAATCAGTTATCGCCTCGAATAGAACTCGTCCAAGGTTTGCTTTTCTTTTGTTTCTACCGAAGTGGGGGAGATAATTGCTAACGAGGTATCGGCTCAGTACCGATTTTCAGTGAAGAATTCTAAATGACACTGCCGATTTGATACCGATGGAATGCTAGGATGGTGCCTCGAGCTAAAACTCGAAAGACAGTATTGTTACTGTATTGATTGCGAAAGTACCGGAAATTATCCAACCCCGATATCGGGACAGGTGATTCTCAATAATGATCGTTATTATTGTATAATTGTTAATACTACATTCGTACTGTGGGAGGAAAAGTCACAGCATAATATGGCGGGGAATGTTTGTTTGTACCTGCAGATGTACACTTTTAATGTCATATGAAGTGAAAAACTTCGAAGCGAGGTTTGGGGTCGAACCTGGATCCTCCGTTTGCCACACGGAGAAAAGATTCCACTGCTGCAGCTAATCATGGTTTAGCTGAAAATGTTTTGCTGTTGTAGCTTGAAATTTGCTACGGTAAAACTTTAGTTATTGTTGTTAGATGTATAGGTGCTAATATATGTCTACTGTAGTTAAACTTATAGGTGTTTACACTCTAGGTAAATCTCCGTTGTAACATGTGGACGAGTTTAGCTACAGCAAACATAAACAGCTTAGGTGACACCTATACATTTAGCAACAGTAACTAATCTAATAGTAACAAGTTTCAATTACAGCAGCGAAATATTTCCAGTCAAACCATAATAAGCCGCGCCAGCAAAATCTTCCTTTTCCTTGCAGGCAACAGCTGTTATCACTGAGCTACTTGGGCTTCATGTTGACGACATCTCCCGCTTTCTTATTTAAGACGTCGGTATCGTAACGTGAAATCCGTATTTCACTAATGAATCGATACACCGCCAGTTTCCGCCGGTACCGGCCGAACGTGTACGACTTCGATATTGATATTATTTGGAGAAGTTGCGATGTTACCTCCATTTGTTTATCTCGTCGTTGCGGAATGAACGTGGACGTTGTGTGTACACGCCGAAGCGCTTAATTAGTTTCGTTATCTTCTGCTTTCAGGTGCCATTTTTGAGCAGGGTACCGACGAGGTACAGTCCGCCTTCAAGTTCGCGATGTTCAACCATAACCAGAACACTACAACTCGCAAGTTTGAGCTGCAAGCTTTCGTGGATGTAATTAATACCGCGGATGCCTACAAGCTCTCCCGCCTCAGTGAGTATTGAGCCTCCCGCTGTTCTCTCCTCGCGCAATCGTTATTCGACTCACGTATCCGCCGCCGCGTGCAACATTCTTTCTCGCGAATTGCAGATATCCCCACGTCGACGGCGCGCACTCCGGTGAAGAAAACTAAATCATAGACATTCGCCCACATACACACACACACGCACACACACATAAACATACATAGAAAAAGACAGAGTGTGGGGGAGGGAGGGGAGGGGGGAGGCACCGTTAAATATTTCATAGACATCTTCAAACGTCGTCGATCGTCGCTTCGCTCGCGCACACCCAATTCGATTCGAAATCGAGTGAGCCGAATTCCATCGCGAATATTCCTTCGGATTGTCCCGGCAATTTTTCACGACTACATTTAAAGTGTCTGCGAAGAGGCGTCCGTGCGAGGAGAGAGCGGAATTTCGTTTCTGTCTCACGAGGGGTGGAAAATCGATTTCGCGTTTTGTTCCGCGATATCTGTACCGGTGTCAGGCGCGGTGACTTATCAACAATGCTGAGGCGCGTACGTGCCGGAAGCGCAACATCTCCGCGCCATTGAATACGCCGCAGCGGTCCGTGTCGGATATGAAATAAGTAACATTTCGTTTCTATAGCGCCGCAGATACTAATCTCGCCTCGGAGGCGAAACGCTTCCATTTCCCGACGCTGTGAAGCACGTGCGACCGATATAGAGACCCGACTCCTCTCTCTCTCTCTCTCTTTCTTTCTCTCTTGCTCGCTCGCAATTGCCCGCTGCGAAGAAAGCGTAGTCGCGGACAAAGGCCCCTCGATTAGCATCGGTGCGATTTCGCGGTTGCAAAAGTGACCCCGAAACACCGGATGGAAGTTACACGTGTTTTTTCGTGTAACTTTGTGTCGCGTGTCCGCGCGATTTCGGCGAAACAAAGCGAGACCGAGTCTCGCGAATTTCGGCCTTCCGAATACGGCGCGGAAATCTCGCGAAAGTGATTTGATTTAACCAGATTTCGTCGAACGATCGCAATTTCGTGATTAAACTCCGTTCAATCATGCGATTAAGTTGGCGGAATTGTCTCATTGTTATGTTACTGCGTGATTCGACACTCTCAATGGTGCCATCCAGCACTCAATGGTGTGAGAAGTTCCGGAATTATCCGAAGAGCCATTACATGTCACTTATCCTGATTTACGTCGGAACGTAGCGGGCGTGAATTTTCACGATAACAGTTATCACTTTTGTAATGAAGATATAGCGTACATTTTTCTCAGCTTTAACGTTACAGGATACTTCATTCCGTTCTCACGTTCATCGTATCATTTGTAAAATTGACGCGGTCCGTGATTACCCCCCCCCCCCCCCCCCCNATCACAATGGAAAAATAATAACCGTAACAATGAGAACAATTATTATTTCCTGTCTGCGTTCGATAATATATTTATGGATATATACTTGTTACTCGTTGTGTTTGAATATAATTATTTATGAGTTCCGATGAGAGCTGGCAGATTTCACCTACCTCGGCGCGCTCGCTGGCGTTACACATGACGTCTTTTTCGCTTAGAATCGACGAGACTGTCGTTCTCGGATTACCTGAAAATGCCCCTTCCCTATAGAATTCATTGGCGTAGTTTCTCACTTGGTCGCCTGTCGCGTATATTCGAAATTCGAAAGAGCCGATCGACCGGCTTGGCCCCGACCGTTTGACGGCTTCTAACCAAGGGGTGTCGGCCCAATCGAGCTACATCGGTCTCCGGCTTTGAAGTCGACCGGAACCGTTCCGAAGCGTAAACGGCTAGAGAGACAAAGGGCACTCGGGTGCCAAAGATATCGGTGTCTCCTATCATCGACGAATTCGCAGTTATTGCGTCGTGCTACAAAGAGATTTTACGATTGTAAGGTTACCCGTTCAAATTTGTCCAGTACGCGAAGAGCGCGCGCGCGCGCGCGTTTCTTCTCCATCGATAAATTGCGGTATATCGAGCGGCCAATAGCCGCTTCGTCTTTCGTCTCTCGTTCGGTTAATAATAACCCCGTGAAAGAGTATACCACGGGAATATAATCGACGTTGTTATGTTGTGCTACCCCTTATAGAGTAAAAAATTTTCTGCCAAAAATAATCCATCGAAACTTTTTGTTACTTTAACACGAGGGGAATATGTTACAGTATAGAAATGTAATGTTAAATTAACACACTCACCTTGTTAACATATGTTGACAATAGTTAGTTTCATATTACATTTACATATCTTTTAATACACTCCTCCCCTTCCCATGTTAAAGTAACACAAAATCTCAGTGAACTGTTTTTAACAACATTTTTTTACTGTGTATATTGGAACTTCTTACTATTACATAATCTTTCACATATACACATAAAGTTGAAATTGGAGTCATTATAATTAGAGTCTCTATTATAATTAGAATCATTAAACCTCTACATACGCAGTAAACGTTTTGTATTAATTTAACACAAGGTGAATATGTTGAAATATAACGCAAATGTTATGTCAAAAATTAACAGAGTATTAATACTTAGTTATTACTTAAATTAATACTTAAATAGAAAGATAATCGATACGGAAGTGTGAAATCTGTTATTTTAACACTCGCACATGTTGAATATCGATAAAATATTGAGATAACATAAACACAGTACGTGAAATTACTACACGGGTATGTGAAAAATTTAACGCAAACATTTCAACAAGGACCAATTTGAACACAAGTGCAAAACGTTCTTTCACTGTGTACCATTACAACCAGAGTTACTCCTGCAACTTTCAACCTAATGCATTAAGTGTAGGAACGGGCGAGCAGCGAGCGCGGAAAGTCGATGCGAGATACGCTTCTAATTTTTCGATCCGCGATAATAATCAGGCTGCAACACGGGGATTAGTTCGCGGCGATTCTCCCGAGCGTGCACACGACGATAATGCACGACACGTCATGGTACCCTTGCGCTTCTATTAACCCAAGAATTCGTGAATAGAATTCGCCGACAACTTGGTTCATCGTGGATTCGTCGCGGCAACGCGAATATTTGGGCCAAGTCCAAGGGGCAGAGAGAGGGAGAGAGAGGCCCGCGTTACGGTACTTAGCAAAGCTCCGTTAATTGTATTAACGTTGGTCGGTTCACCCGGATTAAGACCCTGTTATAATCCCGCAGCGAGACTGCTCTCTACCCGCGAAATCTATTGTTGGGTCGCGTCCCGCCTAATGTTTCGGTCCGCCAAGATGACGAGTTGGCGATACTTTACCGCTGCCAAGCGTGACGAAGCGGAAGGAGGTTTCCGCGTTACTATTTATTTATATAATATATAATGTATCCCTGAGATATATACGGGGAATCGAACGCGTATATAGAACGCGGGCGTATCGGGAACAACGAAATACCGAAAGCTGATCCCGCGGGTGTTAATCACGTATTAATATCCACAATGCTATGAAATAGCATCGGCAATATGATTGCGGACATTTAAGAGCGAAGTGTAACGGCGGTCTCTATATGTGTCACGTTATTACGATCAAAAGGATTTACATCTCATAAATTTTGTATTCCGCCAGATGAATCGATGGCTTTTAATTATCCATCATGTGCGAAATGAGCCGTTGAATAGCAAATGTCATCGCGAAATGGAGGAAGATGGGAAGAGCGCTCTTTCACGATGAAAGGAAAACAATCCGCTATATGATATTATCCTAAAAGACCTCTCCCCGCGTTTCTCCTTTTCCCCGTAACCGTTCATTCAACTTTAAGCAGACGCGACGTGAGCAAGCGCTGCAGCTTTACCCTGGGAAATGACGGGCAGGGAAAATCGTTATAAAATGCGCTATCTCCCCTTGTCGTGTACAACCGCGTGTGTTTTCATTTCAATACATTTCGTTCATATTCGCCGGACATTACGCGCGAAGACCGATAAAATGGAGAGGCGTCTAGGTTAGAACGAGCAGGTAAAACCAATCAGTGAATGATAGAGAGAGAGAGAGAGAGAGAGAGAGAGAGAGAGAAGGAAAATATTCTCATTCAACATATAAAATCGCTTTCTGCATGAGGGAGGTCGTGCTCGCGAGGAGCATTAATTTCTTATTATACGCGACGAAGAGCGCGAATATCAAAGAACCCGAGCGAAATCACGAGAGAGAAATCTAAAATACGAAGACGGGGAATATCGTTAAATAAATCTACCGCCATCCTCCCTTCTCCTCTCGCCCCTTAATATTTTCAATAACGCTCTCTGCGACGTTAGCACGCGAAATTCGGGCCCGGCGGATCTCGGGAGGGTCTCTCTCGCGCCCATCGAGGGTACCGAAAATTATTGCGGACGCAGGGACCGACGACGACGAAACGCGGGCGGGGAGTTTTTTCCGTTGAGAAATCACATAGTAGGAAGCGGGAATCCTGAGGGAGAATTTTCGCGGCGTGGTACGCTCGTCTTAGCGGAACGTAATAGCCATCTATCAACTTTCGGTGCATATCGTATAATATCCTGCAAGATCCTTTGGCCCGCGAGGGATGCTGAGGAACTAGAGGAAGGGTGAGGGAGAGAGGGGGAGAGAGAGAAAGAGTAACCTCTCCCCGTCCTCTCCTCCATCCCTCTCACCAGGGTCAGAGAGGGATGAATGTATACGGGGCGCCGGGTTGCCAGCGAGCCAACCAGCCAGCCAGGGCCGGCATAAATCTGCCGAGGGCTCCCGAGGGTATTTCCCGCCTTTTTTCCCTATACCCTTCCGCGCGCTCCTCGTCGCTCGCCTTCGCTTCCTATTCCACGCTTTCGCGCCCTTCTTCTCGCATCCTGCACCAGACGCGAGATGAATCCCAGGGTTCCCGCGTGGTTTATCCCAGGGCAAACATCAGCTCATCGTCGACGAGGTTGGCGAAAGTCAACGACGATTACAAATTTACAATGTACATTTACGGGGTAAATACCAGCGCCCGCGAGCGCCGGTTTGTTTTACATCGATTCAGACGCGACGGCTTTTAGAATTCTCTTTAGCGATCGCTCTTGTCCACGGTTGA